GAAAAGGATTAACGAGCACAAGTCCACCACACACACACACACACACGTCTTCTACACCAGCTGACCTCGCTCTGGGTCAGACCAGGGGACATTGCTGAGGCTGCAAAGACAAATTTTTCACTTTCTTAGCTACAGTTGTTCTTTAGAGAGTCTGTAGACTAGATCAGTCTGTAGAGCTATCACCAGGCATCCTTTACAGACATTAATACCATTTAATTTTTCAAAAGAATGAAAATGCACCCATGTCCAGTTTGTGAGTCTCTGTCTTGGCCTTCTTAACCAAGGAAGATAATCAGAAAAAAAAAAATGCTGGAACGACTTCAAACTATTTGGAACATTTGTTCTCTGTGAAGACAATCTTCAGAATCAAAAGCTGTAGGTATTTTTCTCTTTCTTTCTCACAAGACCCACAAAACACTCCAGCAAACAAAACCCAAGGCTTATACTCAAAACAAAAGTTTATATTAAAAAAGAAATAAAATCTAGATTTCTTGTAGGCCTAGACTCTGTGCCACTTTCTCTCAATTGTAGGAATAATTTCAGTGCCAATAACATAAATGTTAGCCACCCAAAACTATTACTTTTTATCCTAATTGATAGTCTTTTTAATTTTTCAGAATTGTTTAGTCTCTTCAGTAAGAAGTATGCTAAAGTAGAAAAGGAACTCAGAAAACAGAAAGCTGGAAAAAGCTTATACTTTCATCATAAAAACATACCCTTCCTTTTTTTTTGTTGGAATCAATATTGAAATGAGATTCCTACCAGAAAATAGCTTTTTCAGGCATACTAAATATCCCTTGGTTCAGCAGAATATTTAATCCCCTTGGATCAGGCACTTGGATTTTCTTAGATCACGCTGAGATAACAGCATTCTGCTGTGTTCTGGCACCATAAAATCCTTGCTTATGAAAATAAAAGAAAAATACGGCCTCTCTGGGAACATACATCTCTGAATTACTTTTTTCCATAGTTTAAATATTGTAGTCTCAAAATCAATTTTTACACAGATATACCACATTCTCTTTATGAGTCATGGCAAAAGCTCTCCTGCACCACTATTTTAAATGGGCCAAGTGTACATATACCCTTCAAAATGATGATCCTTTCACAGTCTTGGCTCAGGCTCCAGCTCACACTGGGCAAGTGCCAAGGAGTAACTGGAGTCAAACCCCTCCAACAGCACCATCTAGTGAAAAAAAGATAAAATAAACACATGCAAATTTAAACAGTTTTCACTGCACTCTGGAAACTAACAAAAGGCCAATTCTCTCCTAATCTCCCATTACAACTGCATTTAGGTATAGCTTTCATCAAGGCTCTTTGCCTTGTGAAGTGTGGTGACAAGTAGAGAAAGATTCAACAGCTAATTGTAAGCTTTTTGTCTAAAACTGGAACACCACTTGGAACACATATAAACTTTCCCTTGTTTATTTTTCCAATGTTAAGCTTGCATTTTTCTTATTGTTATGAAAAATAGAAGCATTTTAAAATGCTTTAAAATTATTCATAACATAACATCTTCTACTTCCTCCTCTGGTATTGGGAGGTGATATTATAAGACAAGTGGCTCCAGAATAAAAAAGAAATTATATATACATAAAATCTCAACAGCCTTTTCAGCTCTTATTTTCATATAATTGTAATATCTTGTATGACTATATCATTGAAGCATGAAATTCTTGTTCATGAAAAAGGGCACACTCAGCTTCCATCTCTAACTTTAATGTGACCAGTCTCCCTGGTTTCAAAAAGACTATCTGCTGAAGTTGTGTAGGTGCTTAGATCTTTCACAGGGTCAGAACAAAATACTTTGGCTATGTGGAGGAAATAAAGTAGTATAGCTCTTAATTGTGGGTGTTTTCAAGGGTCTTGTTTGAATAGTTTTTCAGTCCGAAGGAACAGATTCTGTACTTTTCCCAACACGCATCTTCAATGACATGCAACTCTCAAGTGGGCTGTAGAAGGGATTCTGTAACAACAGTAGTTTGCAGATAACACACACGTGCTTTTACAGTTATTCCATCTAATTATCAAGATGAATCAGATTTACAGTGCCCATGCAGTAAGCTCATCTGAATCAGACTTGTTCCATGGGGCTGTTCAGCTCAGCATACCCGCATGCTAACTTTGAACGCTCATTTCCAGACATTGAGCATGATACAGTCATTTTTTGCATTTCCAGACCTATGGCTGCCTGGTCAAAGCCTCCTCCCCCAAAATACAAGTCCACAAATCTCAACCAGGCAAAATTTCGAAGCATGACACTGCACATTTGGTACCACTATCTCAGCCTTATATTTGATGCACTACAAAGCATAATTCATTTAGAGAGCATTCTACCCTACATAGGAATTTATGTCTAAATAAAAGGCAATCTGCTCTTGACAAAGCTTCAGTAATTTTTCCTTTGGAATGCAGATAGGGAAAGGTGGACTCAATTTTATAATCTTCAAAAGAAAGAGTTAAAAGGTCTCTAAGTGTTACTTTAATTATTTAAATCTCACAGAGCACACACTAGGGCAGTATAACTCAAGTTTCATGGAATGACTTGAGATCTCATAAACCTCAAATTCCACATGGCCGAAGGTTCCCTCCTTCTCACTGTCACAGTTAAGCCCAAGCAGAAAAGCCTTCTTCAGGATTCCCATACTCCTCCTGGTAGGTTGCTGCTACACTGCTGCTCCTTTGAGGTCTCTCTCACTCAGTATTAGTTTGTAAATCAACTTGTTTGCCCTTATTTGCTCACATAAAATGACAGTGTTACCTACTTTCATTGTCTGGCTCCAAATGAAAACTCTTATTGCGGTATAACTAAAAGTCCCTCTACAAATACAAGAGAGAAATTAATTCCTACTGCAAAGCTGTAGAAAGAGTGCTCTCCTAAGCTTTAGTAAGTCTCCTTACATCACCATTTGGATTGGAAGCTTGCACTGTGTTTTTTCCTGTTTTCTTTTTTAATCCCTGTATGCTGTTACATTTTCTTTTACTACTTTCTTTGCATTTTACAGTTTCTCTTCAACCAGTCATCTGTGATTAACTCCCCCCTTAAGAATTCAGTTACATCTAATTTTGCGAGCTTGTAATGATATATTAGAGTGAAGTAAAATCTTAAAATAAGAACAGAATAGGAAATTTTACTGGGTAGACACTAGCAGGAACCAGATTCTGACATTTATATTTGTGTTGCAAGGTGCCACAACTCCTTTGAAAGTCCCACCAAAACTGGATAGAGCAGAGAGCACATTGGGCCATCTACTGCTTTGGACCGATAGATCACCATAATCCCCTTAAGTTTCTTGAAAATTACCACAGTTAATCCTTTAAGAAAACAATATCAGAATATGCCAATACTGAACAAACAAACAACCGCTGAATTCCCAAGAAACCATGATAGTAGGATTTCAATGTTAAAAATTAACCGTAGTTTTTCTCATTGTATAGAACAGGAACACTGATTCACACTACTTAGAAAGCAAGATAATACAGAATAGTATGAACACCCAATACATACTGGTTATTACATACGTTGTATGTAATCCTGAACGCATTGCATACATATTACATTGAATGTATTACACACATACAGACAATACATACTGCATACAGTATGAACACACAAAATGAGTTCCATGATTTCACAGGGGGGAATGAAATATCACTGGTTATGTTGTGACTAGAAGTTATTTAATTGAAACAACACGCATGTAAAATAATATGATATATTGCAAAGACGAGTGAGATATCGCAAGCGAAATTCATCACAGAAATTGGCAGAAGTATCCACAACTACTGGTTATGGATAAAAAAAAACAAACAAAAACCCAAAATAACACACAAACTTAAATCTGTACAAAAAGAAAACCCCAAACCACAAAACAGAAAAGGTACTGGATGCAGAAATACATGTATAGACTCTCTTAGCTGGCAACTAATTATAATGTTACACCTAGGAGTTCAAATATCTTACAAGTTAGTTAAAAATAATAGACCAGGCATGAAGATACCTTAAATAGAAATAGTGTGATTGACACTAAATTTAATGTACTATATTCTTACAGTATTCATATTAGGTATAAAACCTTAGCATATTGAATAAATAAACTGACAAAATTTATTACAATTCATGGGAGTTTTAAGTTAACTTTTTCATTAAGTGAACTTTTTCATTTTTTTAATGATATACATAACAATGATATTACTGGTGCACTGCTACAATAACTATTTTGAACAAACATCTGAATTGCTAGTTAGCATTTTCTCAATACAGTGACAGTGTTTTCACAAGTAAAATAATGATCATTTATTTAAAAATACAGAGAAATCAATGATTTAGCATGGGGTACCCCACCACTGAGGTACAACATATTTATAAATTTTTTGTATGTTTAAAATCATGCCTCTTCAACTTCAAAACTAAGGCTCTTCAATGAAATCTGAGCTGGCAGGACATTAATACTCTTGGAACATTTCTTGATACACAGCTGTTGCAGCACTAGTGTACTATAAACAAGAGGTAACTATAGTTTCTCTGCTGAAGGGAAAGTGCGTAAGACAGGTAGAGCAAGTTGTCTTAACTCTAAAGTCAATGAAAATATGTGAGTTTTCCACTTGTGAAAGAAAGCTGGATCTGACATCAACTAAAAGAAAGGACTTCCACTTACTTTTTTCCTCCCCTATGGTCAGGTGTCTGGTCTTCAGTATGGCTGAAAAATGGATTAACCTGAGCAACATGAGGGATTCAAGCTTAATTAGAACAGCGGTGTGTGTTGGACACAACATAGATGCCCTCAGTATAGGCCATATAGGGCAAGACTTGGTTTTTGTGCTACCATGACTTTTGGTGGTTCTGCGGCTTTACAGACTCATTAGGGAAAGGCAGAAAAGCCTCTTGTCAATTAAACCATAAGGAACATTCTGCTTGATATGGTATTAGCTCAGAGATCAGGATTTGCACGTTAAGAACAAGCATGCATCAATCACATTAACATCCACATACATACCATCCAAAATAACGTCCCTGTAGCAAGAGCTGCATACTGTTCAATTGTAGAAAGCACGCTGAAGATAAGGCATATCAGCACAATAAGGAAGCTGTAAATAAATAAAAAAAATAAAAATAATGTAATGCAGTCTAGTAAGAACCTAGAGGGAGGACAGATAATTATGCCATTACAAATTATCTGTACACACAGAAATGTCATTGGTATTGGATTATCTTAAAACACAGCTGGTAACTTCTGAGTGATCCTGCTTCATGTTGGATAGTTTATTTCTCTTCAGACACTGAGTTTTTGGGTTGGACATTATCAAATGAAACCACACAATAACATTAGCTTTAGCCTACCTCTAAGACTTGCTGTTTCCTAGCCGCTCAGGAAAACAGCACTCCTTGTCCTTTCCCATTGTAAGGGCTACTACAGCTGAATCACCACCACACAACCCCCCCAAACATGTTTCAAATATTTGCCTTTTTGCTGTTCCAAATTCTAATAAACTGCAAAGAGAAATCCCAACTAAGCCAGAGCTTAACAGGCTCTGCCCACACTGTCTTTCATAACCAATCCCCAAAAGGCCCCAGATAAATAAAATCTGACATTCGGCATCTAAAACACAATCGAGGACTGATTCCACTTTTAAATAAAACAAAATTTCAAAGCAACTATCAGAGAGAGTGGGAATATAATGGTTTGTTCCCCGGTCCCCCCTGCCCGAGTGAGTCCTTAGGGAGGGGGTCCTGATTCCCAAGGTAAGATTCGGGACAGCCAGGGAGTTGCAGCAAACTCAGCCCAACTGCCTGTAGACCCCAGAGAGCCTCTTCCCCCAGCTAGGGAGCAAGGCTGCCCAGCCCTGCAGCCTCTGCCTTCAAACCCCTTCCCTGAGCAGCTTCAGCTGTGCCCACCACCCCACAGGACTGCTGCTTGCCTTAAAGGAACATTAACACATTTGGGAAGCAAAACATTTAAAACCCAAACTGGATGCTACCTACTACACACTAGGCATAGGCAACTTCCAGTTCCCAAACAACTGCGTGTTTCTTTTTAAAACATGACACGAGCAATGAAGACTTAAAACATTCACTTATTAAACACAGAGCTAGCTAGGGATATTTTTCATAATTCTGTTGAGACAAGCAACACCAATCCTTTGCACTTGACAGAAACTTGCTGCAAAATCCAGTAACTAAATCATCCCCCCCGATACAGATCTCTAAAGCGGTTAATCAGGTTTTTTTCCTCAGAAAAACAACAAAAAAAAAAGAATTGACATAATGAATAAAACTGAACTCAAGAGGAGAAATATTAAAACAGGACATCAGCGGCTGCAAATTGGCATGGCTCAGCTGAAGTCACCCAGAGCCTTTATCTTTTTTCACATAAGTGAGAACTTCATTGGGTGAATCTTTTGAAAGGCTGAGGACTCAAGAAAACAAAAATGTGTCAAGGTTGACATTATAAGCTAGACTGCCCAATGATAGCTTCAAAATACAGCGCATATAAGTCCAATGCACACATAGACAAATGATATTGTAAACACATTACAAAATCGTGGAGAGGAAGTTTGTAGGTAATTAGGTACAAAAATCAAATTAGTAAGTGATGACAGATTGGAGTTAATATGATAGAGATTATCATATATCAACACAAACACACATATGAGAATATACTTTTACCTAGGCAAAGTATAAATATGTGGGTGTTTCTGATTTATCTCTCAAATCTTCTCATTTTACCTTGTATGTCTAACTTTGGCCATTCTTAAATAGAGTAAGGTGTGCAGACAAGGCAGGGGAACGCAAAGATGAGCCAGTCATTTGAAACATAACATAAATGTTCCCCAAGTGTCCAGTCCTTCTATCTGCAATATTCCCACAATTGCTTAAGACCGATACACGTTGCAACATGAACATAAATAGGTTCAGTTACACGGAGGTAGTTAAGGGTCTCTGGATAAAAAGTCCAACATACATAGAAGTACCAGTTCAAAGCAAACAACGAGTCGCATGGGATGGTGTAAGCTGTCTGAATACACCTTGAGCAGTAACAATTAATACTTATTAGATCCCTTAATAGTAGTATACCTGTTAAAAGTGTAACTCGGCCAATACATGAAACCACAAGAGGGCACTAAAGCAAAGACTATCCCATTTCTGTACTTCTCCTAAACAGACACAACGAAAGAGAACCTAATAAGGATTAAAGGTGAAAGTTTGTGTGCCTAAGTGACAGGAAGATAAACTTAGGGTAAATCGTTTGCCAAATCTCTTTGCTTGTTACTATTAGAGAAATTGAAGGCTGACATAAGAACTGCATCAAGTGCCAGTCACCACACTACCTACTTTTATGGGTTTTCATGCACATGGATCTGTGTCAGTCTTACTAATTTTTTTTTTTTTCACCCCCAGAAAAACTCTTGAAATTTATTCTTGTGCTCTTTCCAGGCTGAAGCATGAGACACCTTCATACCCACAAATACACATTATGCAAAGCGAAACAAAGATGTTCAGTCAGATATTGCTGCTTCTCATCTGTTTCTTTGGCATTACAGAGAAGATGCCCACAAGCCCCACTAGTACAGCCATGCTAGTGGAGCACCACAGCTAAGCTACTAACCCTGTCAACACTGGTATCACTATTTTGTTTCTGAGACTAGACCAATTGCACATAAGTAACAGAGGGTGCAAAATTAAGAGATTAAAAAAATACATGGTCCTCCTCTGACATCAGCCTGCTGTTCATTTCCTTCCAACACTCAGCTCTTACCCTGTTTTTGTTTCAGTATTAGTGGCTTCCTCCTCCACTTCTGACATGTAAGAAGGGAGTGAGGCACCAGGAAAATGAAAAACAGGAAGTTTGCCACTTTTTTTTTTTTCTTTTTTTGACAGCTACCTCCCCTCTCTTCAGCCAGAAGTGGAGCAGAGATTCTCAGTTACTGCCTACTTTCACTTGTTGACAGCAGACAAGTCCACAGTAGTTAAACAGTTATGAACAACAGTTGCAAGGACAGACTCTGCCTCAAACTTGAATTTGCTCTGTGTGAAAATCATCCTGGGGAAACTTCACTGACAAGCCTCAGAAAGCTTCCACTACTCATGTGAGAGCTGTGATTATTTTTTTTTCCCCAAGTAGTTAGAATCTAATTGAACTTGTGTGAATTTTCACAGGGAAAATCAAAAGTACAACCCTGACAACCGAAGATAAAATTTTAAAGCCCCCAAATCAGTGTATTTTTTCAAAGCAAATGTTACAGTTTTCACATGCCCAGAATAACCTTATCATTTTACTGTGATCACTATTACTACATCTTCCCAAAAAAGTACTCACCTAAGCATGTAAACTCTTCATCCAACCAGTTAATATCAGACAAACTGATGGGCAACTGAAACCAACCTTACAATAAGAAGCATTAGACAAATTACTAGCAGACAGCCCTACCCTAATCAACCACATAATTTGAGACAGCTAAGTTGAGAGCTTTGTTTCAGACAAACTAAGACTCACCTGCAGGTCAAAGCTCTGCTGTCAGTGGAAAGACACTGGACACCTTCAGGGAGCAATTTATAGCCCATGTGAAGCAAGTTACTGTGCAAAATGTTTCGTTATTTCAACTGTTGAGCAGGTGAAGGCTCTAAACAGGGACATTTAAATTAGGGAAACAATGTCAGCTATCCAGTGTGCATACTAATCCGAAAACACTTATTAGACTTCACAGAAAGTCATTTACTCTTCACTGAGTTGTAGCCAAGCTACTTTACTGTAACATAACAGGTGAAAAAGCATGTTACTTAGCCAGCCTTGATTCTCTGTCTCACAGTAAAAAATTAAAAATACCTTAGCTCCCATATAATATCACTTAGGGGTTTAAAGATCTAAGACAGATGAATGGTTTAACCAGTAGCATCAGGCACTCTGGAACACTTTGCTAAGCATACAGTCCCGTGCCGATTTCACCAGTTGTATATGGGGTAGCAGAAAAAACATTCACCATCTGCCCTAACAACTCCCGTATAATACTTTTTTCTTCTAAAGGAGAGACAGACAGCAGAATACTGGAATTTCTTTTAACTCTAGCAGTTAGAAAAGGCTTAGTCTCTTGGAAACCACCAATCTCTTATCTCCTGAAACCCATTGCTTGTTTACCCTCTAGGCACAAATGTGACCATTTTCAAGAAAGGAAGCAGAGCGATGAGGAGTACAGGCTTTCATCAGCTCTGATCTAACTCTCAGATTGTGGGGCCAAGGAAGCATTAGAGATGAGGCGATAGCATGTGAAGTCTTTCATATTGCCTGTTCCAGGTTACAAAGTAGCATCTGCCTGCATGTAGATAAATCACAGATACTGCATCAGTAGATGCACTCAAAAATACTTAGCTTTGTGGTTAACTTGTATCTAACAGTGCTACATTTCTTTTAACACCAAGAATTTTGCAAGTGTCTGATCATCTCTGTACTTCTGGATGTGAAACCATGAAACCACTATTAAAGCAGCATGGACGCTAACACTTACAAAGCAGCAGATGTTTTCTTTCATGGACTCCACTTTCAGTAGCCTATTACAAGGTGACCTGTTTCCTCTCAGACAGCCAGCACTGTTTTACTAGAAGCCAGTTTCTGTGGTTGTCTTTTCAACCCAATGTTTACAGGCACTGCATACCTGGTGGTCATACCCAGAAGTGGAGCTATCTCAGTGCGCATGAAACGACGTCAGCGTGTAGCCCTCCAGTAATACTTTGAGCCCACATACATACAAGCCTGTATATAGAATTGGGATGTGTGTCTATGCTACACTACCCATTAAACAGAAAAGCACATATAGACACAGGTGTATATAGAGTTACATGAGACCGTGCATGCACAGATGTGTCTATGTGGGCAAACGTATAGTAAATAATAAGATTTGGCTTACTCCATGAAGTCAGCCATATGATTTAGATACCTTTTTGTCTCAAACAGGTTTGAGAAGTCAGAGCATTTCCAGGAAAGAATCATACAGCTGACAGGTAAACATGACCAGCTAGTACATGCACTATATTTAGCAACATATAGGAAATATATAGGGAATATATTAAGAGCTAAAGGTGGATTTAATGGTTT